AGAATCCACCTTTTCTGAGTCCTACACCAGGATATCTCTCACCCCACAGTTTCTGGGAGACAAAACCTAGTACCTATTGCAATGTCCAGTAGATAATAGGTACCCAATGCCCTCATGTAATGAAAACTAATCATTTGGTTGCCCATGACAAAGTAAAGTATAACCCATTTCAGGAATAAGGTCTTTTTCCTAAGGGGAAAACGTCTACAATTTTCATGAAATTCTTACTGCTAGAAAATCAAATGGTCTGGATTTGTTTGTGTTTTTTCAGGTCCTGCCAGTTTCTTCTCCAGTGCTTGGAGTGTCCTCATGAAAAGAACAGAGGAAGAGGCTGTCTGACCTTGTACTGTGGGTCAGTGGCCTCCAGTTGGATTCACACACCCCAGGGCTCGCTCCAGCTAACAGCTGGTGTGCAAACCAGTATGCAACAAGAAAATGCTGGGAATGTGTTTACACTTATCTTTCAAAATTAGGGCTCAAGCTTTGCTACTGGTAAAAAACGGATTGACACCAGGGTTTCCTCAGAGAGTCACATGTCAGGTACAAGTGTGAGCTACCCAGAAAGGGAGAATGGAAAGTTCCATTCCTTTTTTTACACTTTTTCTTTATTCTAAGACATTGTAGTTAATGCATGCCCAGTTAAAGGGATATATGTGTTGTATTATATAATTTTTTCAAACTAACCTCACAAAATGGACAAGAGGCTAACAAGTGTTCCTACAAAAAACAAGCCACTCATATTGAAGATGATAGCAACGATGCGAGCCTAAGTGGATAAGATAATGACAGAGCTGATGCTTCTACTCCCAGTACAGCGCTTCGTCGGCCACACCAGGAGCTGAAAACAATGGTGTGCTAATCAGCTCTGTTGAGAGGACAGTGTCATTCTGACATGATCAACACTCTCTGAAATGTGGATTTACAGCCACCACCATAAACGCTGAAATGTGGATTGTGCCTTTGTGTTGTGACAGTACAAAGTCATCACAGTTAGCAAGACATTTTAAAACATTGTCTATTTTATCTTCATTGTATCCTTTTATTTTCTATTTCATGTATTTTTTAAATGCTTAATATATTAGTATGAAGAAGGCGATGAAAAAATTTGGAAATCACTTGTCTTGATTACCATGTTGCTACAGACAATCTATTAGCCCAGTGCTTGTTTCTGATAGTCCCACCATGGGGCATAGTAGGAAGTTAATAAATAAGCACTAAATTAATGACAACCATGGTATAATGGGACAAGTTTAGGAACACAGAAATCAAACAAATGAGTTAGAGGAATGAGGTTAACAAGAACAAGAGGCTCAGCTGCAATGAGGCTCAGCAGGGACCTGCACGGGAGAGAACAATTGACATGTGAGTATGCGAGTAACATCAAGGATCCCAACCAGGCTTCTTCTGTAGTTTACACAAAGACCAACTGGCAACCTACATGGATAAAACTTAAAAGACTGATAATACCAAGTGCTGACAATGATGTGGAATAGCTGAAATGCCCATATACTATAGGTGAGAATATAAATTGGATAACTGTTTTGGGAAAGTGATGATATCTACTAAAGCCAAAGAGATGCACAAGTAGGACCCAATAATGCCTCTCCTAGACACATACACAACAGAAATGTAAAAAACAATACTATTTACAACAGTCCAAAATTGGAAACAACCCATAAAAGCATCAGCAGCAGAATGAATAAGTACATTGTTATAATTAATACAATGAGAATGAAGAAACTATTGTTATATGCCACAACCTATTGAATATCAGAGGCATAACAATACACCAAAAATGCCAGATCAAAGAGTACTAACAGTAAGCAAGGCTGTGCCAAGCCATGTAGACTCATAAGACAGAAGAAAACACCAGTAAAACTGATTGTCATGATTAATTTCACATGTCAACTTGACTAGGCCACGATATCCAAATAGTTGATCAAACATTACTCTAGACGTTACTGTGAAGGTATTTTTTACGATGAGATTATTATTTAAATCAGCAGACTTTTGGTAAAGACATCAGCGTATAGGAATGGTTCCATAAATGATAGCCATCATAAGAATTGAATAGACTATGTCTAAAAAGTGATTCTTGAATGAAACACATTCTGTAGCTAGGAAAATATGTATACCAATGGGATGTTTTCCCTTCACCTGAAATTTTGCAAATCTAGCAATTGTCAATCACACAGTTAGAGGATCTTAGCCTCCCTGGTATATCTTGTGCTGATGGAGATAGGCCATTCTTTGTGCAGCGTTCAAGGCAAAGGAAAACCTGAGATGCACAAAAGGACTTTGAGCTGAGAGCAGGATTTGGGTCTCAAATGTTCTCAAGAAGTCCACACTCTAATCAATGTCAGAACAAAAATGAGTTTGTGCAATGCAAACAAAGTGACCACATGTCTTTTAAAGAGGAATTTATATGGCATAAACAACTGGCTTCTCAATGGTGCACCAAAGCAGATATAGATAGAAAAAAAAGAAGGAAAAGGAAAATGAGGAGATTGAGAAAAAGAAAGAGAAAGAAAAGGAGAAGGAGGAAAAGGAAATGTAGTATCAGACATATGTATTTGGGAGAGACTCCTTAAGGAATCCAGCTACCATAAGGTGTTATTGGGCTTCACCTCCTCTGCTTCCCAAACCTGAAAGCATTTCTGTAATGGTTAATTTTATGTGTCAACTTGACTAGACTACAGTACCCAGATATTTGATCAAATATGTCTAAATATTGCTGTGAAGGTATTTTTAGATTAGATCAACACTTAACTCTGTATATGTTGAGTAAAGCAGATTATTGTTCATGGTGTGGGTGGGCCTCAACAAATCAGTTGAAGGCCTTAATAGAAAAAGATTGACCTGCCCAAAAGGAGAGGAAATCTGTCAGCAGATCACCTTTGGTCTTCAGCCTGTCAGCCTATCATGCAGATTTTGGACTTGCCACATCTTCATAGCCATGTTAAACCAATACACACACACACAACCAATTGGTTCTGATTCTCTGAAAAATCTAATATGCCGATCCTGTCTTTATTTAAATTTTATTTTATTCATCATGAATCTTTCAATTAATTTTGAGTTTTTTAAATGTTATTTTTCTTCATTACTGAGAGTTTTTTTGGGGGGGCACCACCTTGAATTTTACACCCGAGGCTAGTGCCTCACTTGCCTTAGGTTGGTTCCTAGGCTGGTAACTGACAGTTGGTTCCAGCTCTTCATAAAGTCAAATAGCAGGCAGGAGCGACCCATGCTGCTAGGAGTCAAGATCATGGTTCCTTAGAGCTGGTGGGGGAGGAGTGACATGAGGGGCACAAGGGGGGTCACTGAAATGTTCTCCTTCCTGACGTGGGTGCTGGTTAAATGGGCGTGTTATCTGTGAAAATTCACTCAAACATACACTTATGAGTTGTGCTCATTTCTCTATTTATCTGATACTTCAGCAAAAAATCAATGTAAAAATTAGTGTTCCCTCTGCCCACTCCATCATCTCTTCTAAATTGGCACTAAAAACGTACAGCCTAATTTGGAGGCATCATCTTCAGAGAAACGTCTGCCCTGCCCAAGACTCCTTGTATTTCAAAGAGGAAAAAACCATTCACGCTAACTTCATGCACAGGGGCATTATTGAAAGGACATTGGGAAATAACTGTTATCAATCTGAAGGGCAGGAAGTACTACAGTCCTTCATGAGAATCTGGACATTAGCAAGATTTATGATTTGGCTTATGCCTCACACTGATTATGACGTATTACGCAAATATCTATTTCAATCATTTTGTGAAAAGGACCATGTAACAAGCATTGTGCTAGGAACTTTACAGTTATTTAGTCCTCATACTCTTTCCTCACATATTTGGTAGTAATAGTCTCATTTTACAGATGAGTCAACTGATTCTCAGAGAGATTAAGTCATTTTCCCAGGCACACACAGCTAATTTAAGTGGGGAAGGCCTCCATGTCAAAGTTCTTTCCACCAAGGCAGTGCTTTGAAAGAATATACCCCATACCCTACTCTCTTCCTCACTGTTCCCCATCTACCCCATCGAGGGCAGCCTGTTGACAAACCCCAGCCAAAGCCAGTCTCGCCAGAGAATCAGTCACCTGCTGTCGTGGGAAGAAGACTGGTTCCCTGCCCCAGCTTCAGCAAGGAAGGCGGGAAGAGCCCAAAGCTGGGACTGCACGGCGGGGTGGTCAGCCTGACCTACCCAGTCGAGGTTCCTCCTTCTCCTGGTGAGCTGGGTCTTGTGTGCGAAGTGTGAGGATGGAGACCCTCGGGCTCAGAGCCCTTCTTCTCCCTTGACCCAGCAGGTCTGGCTGGCACCACGGCCGTGCTCGAGTGGGATCCGGGCTCCAAGAGCACCCTGGTCCCCCCGAATCCGAAGCTGGAAGACCTGAGCGAACGGCTCTGGTGACTCCACCCAAGGCTGAGCAAAACCTGGCACCCACCCCTCCCCACTAACTCAGCATGTGCGCTTCGGGAGTGCAGCCAGCTCCACGGCTGGAGCGCTTCTGAGCGCAGCTCGCTGCCGCCCGCGCCAGGACCGAGAGCAGACCGCCGGCCGGCGTGTGCAGCCCTCCCAGCCCCAGGAGCCTCGAGGCTGAGAGACCAGCAGTCGGGGAAACTCCTGGGAGCCGCTATCAGTCGGGTCGGACCACTTCGACTTGTAACTAAAGAGGGATCCAGATCCCCGAGAGACACCTCCAGCTGTCACCTCTGGCCCTCGGACCCCGACTCGGAACTCAGACTGCCCCGTGGGCAAGTCGACCGGAGTTTCGGTCCCTGACCTGCGACAGCCCTGCACCGCAGACCCTCCCCGGGCACGGAAGCGGACCCAGCCTCCCTGCTCAGCCCGTCTGGGCGGCTCTCTCTGAGCACCCGGACTGGACCCTGGGCAGCCTCGCCCGCGCGGTGGCTCCCTCGGGGTCTGCCCGCCTCGCGCCCCCACGCGTCCTTCTTTGTTTCCGAGCTTGCTGTGCAAGTGATGTAACGAGGCGGACAGGCTGGCACGCCGCTTCCCCTCTTCCCCAGACTAAGTCCTTTCTCCCTCCGGCACTCGGCGATCGCGCGCACGGAGCCGCGGCTGAGCTTCCAGAGCCTGGGACCGCGACGGCGCTGTCGGGAGAGACGCGTTCCCACGTCCCACCTCCTAGACGCTGAGCCCGTAGGAAAAGTCAGGCTTTCCTCCCAGAAACAAGGGGGAGAGTCGAGGGGACAGCTGCTGTGGAGGTGTCCAGGGAGACTCAGACTGGCTTCTTTCCCTGCCCCCAGGCGACGGGAGGAAACCTCAGGTACTGCTTCAGGGACCCCCGCCGGCGGACGTTTAGATAAGAGACAGAGGTTAAAACAGTAAAGAGACAGACGGACAGACAGACAGACAAAGAGCAACAGAAACAGGGGGAGAGACAGAGAAAGAGGGGCAGAGACCAAGAATATCAAACAAGATTAAGAGACAAGAGTAAGAGAGTCAGAGTTGGTGGGTGGGAAATTGACTTGGATTTTTTTTTTTTAACCCACTGCGGTTTCTCTGACAGAAGACGGTAAAGCTAAAGCTTGTCCCTGGCCAGCAAGAAGCTCCCAACCTGGATGGAATAAAAGATGCGGCCTGATGACATTAACCCGAGGACTGGGCTGGTCGTGGCCCTGGTCAGTGTCTTCCTGGTCTTTGGCTTCATGTTCACTGTCTCTGGGATGAAAGGAGAGACCCTGGGAAACATACCCCTCCTGGCCATCGGGCCAGCCATCTGCCTACCAGGTATTGCGGCCATTGCCCTGGCCAGGAAAACTGAGGGGTGCACCAAGTGGCCTGAAAACGAGCTACTGTGGGTCCGAAAGTTGCCTTGCTTCCGGAAACCCAAGGACAAGGAGGTGGTGGAACTGCTGAGGACCCCTTCGGACCTGGAGTCAGGCAAGGGAAGCTCAGATGAGCTGGCCAAGAAGGCGGGCTTCAGGGGGAGGCCTCCCCTGCAGCCGCAGGCTGAGGTCAGCTCCATCACTACCCCCACCCCCACGGAAGAAGGAGAATGCCAGAGCCTGGTCCAGAGTGGGCATCACGAGGAGACATCCAGACACCTGGATGGCTACTGTCCCTCAGGCAGTTCCCTAGCCTACAGTGCCTTGGATGCCAAGCGCTCAGCCTGGGACAGGTCAGAGTGCCCCGAGCCCGAGGACAGCATCTACTTTGTGCCCCAGGACAGTATCATCGTTTGCTCCTACAAGCAGAACAGTCCCTATGACAGATACTGTTGTTACATCAATCAGAGCCAAGGCAGGTGGGACCACGAGACGATAGTCTAAGCTTTGCATACAAGAGTCACTGTGTTGATAGAAACATGACTACACTCAGCTCCCGGTGGAAGGAAATGGCCCTGCTCCGACAGCCTTCACACTGTTAGAAACCGACCTGGTATGTGATGGATGTGCGAACCTCTGGTGCCTGAGAGCCATGTAAATAGCTGTGTTGGGGACACATTGCAGGGAAGGGTGATGAGTGTTAAGGACACTGGAAGAGGCAGTGGGTAGGAGAGGAAGCAGTATTAACTGCTTTTTAACAATTTAAACTATGTTGGATGTTTTGTAAATAACCCAAAAAGTGCCCCTCAGTACCTGCCGAAAGCAAGGTAAATCTTGAGTGGGCTGCAGAAACCAGGCATGAAATGATGCTTTTGGGCTATCCACAGGGACACTGAGCTGCTTTAGGTCTGAAGAAATGGAAAGAAAAGAAAAATGTAATGCTTTGTTATAAGAAATGATTTTTATCTGTTGCAAGCTTTTCACACTTAGTGTTTGCTGGAAGAACACAAGTCAGGAGAGAATAGCTACATCCCTCCTTAGGCAGGATGGCTTCTGGAGAAAGGGAACTTAAAGACAGTTGAATTATGTAATTGAGTTTGATATTATCCTCTGACAAGATCAGAAATTTAAAATAAAGTAAAATAAATGTGACCAGCTATGTGAAAAACTAACGTTTTTAGATGGCTATGTTACTTATGAAGCTCTTCACTTAAAGTGATTTACTGGGTCTTTATCTGAAGTGTTTTCTAACATGTACTATCATTCATGTATAATTTTTTCATCAGGTGCAAAATGACTTGATGTAATATTTTCATAGATTAGAATTTGTTTTCACCAAATCGCAATGGATTTTACATATGTATACAAGTGTCTTTAATATTTTTGGGAGACATGTACTGGTAATTACTATTCCTATATGCCTTTTAATATCTGAAGACTATGAAGACAATACCTTAGTCTTGAACTTTATGCAAAATTTACATGAAATGCAATGATTAAACTTCTGGAAATGCCAGAAATGTCATTATTTGTACATTTGTTCAGTATTCCCAAAGACTGTAAATGCCAATGAAATGAGAGTTAATCTACCAGATTTAACTAAAGCCCAGTTTTTATTAAGTTCATCTGATCAGTGAACTTTACATGGCAAAGACCTGCTCTATTTCATGTTTAATTTTTTGCTGCTGAAGGAAAAGATTACAATGGGACTCTAAAATGTATTTCTTCTTCCACTTATTTAACTGTAATAGACAAGAGGTCAATCACCAAGAACACTGCTGGATCCCTGTTGAAGAGAAATATTGAATTACACATAGAAATGGTATATATTTCATCCCAAAGATCAGAATAATTTTGCATCCTTCAAAGAATGATGACTTATTTTTAATGATCAGATAGTCTCAGCCACTTTTTCCCAAAAGTGGAATTGAGGACACAAATTTGGGGTATACCTCTTTTGTGTATTTCAAGTTCAACTCAGTAGTTCTCTAAGGAAAGCAATTATTCTTATTTTAAGAATTATGCCCTTAAAATGATAATTTCCTATTCAAATATGTCAAAAGCATGTAATTGTTTTTTAGTAGAGCTTAAATGTCATAAAATGAGATTTGCAATCCTGGGCAAATTTTATCTTCTCACATCTCAGCTCCCTGAAAAGGGAAGAGTGGAACTGATTTATACTAGATTATCTCTTCATCCATTCCCAATCCAAATATTCTGTGGCATTTTGTCAAGGGCACTTTATATATTGCCAGGAAATGAGTTACAGCAAAATGCAGGCCAAAGTTACGCAATTCATGGTAACAATTATGTGACATGGATTGAATTCTTGCTACTACTAAAAAGAATTTTGTAGATGTATGAGAGCAGATGTGTTTTATTACCAAATATTTTTTTATTCAGCTAAATACATTTCTGGGAATAAAATGAAGATATGCAGAGTAAAATATTTTTGAGGAGAATTTTTTAGATATTGGAGTCCCAGATAACCTAATGCATACCCTTACATCATATGTAATTTACTCTGAACTTGGCGTGAAGGGAAAATAATTCCTGGAATCACAATACCTCTTGATCATTCTAATGCATTTTGAAAGAGGGGGATCATATTTTTATGAAGGTGAAAATTATTAGATACTCTTAGGAATAAGAACTTCCCCTAATTCATTTGCCACTGTGGACAGCTTTAGAGGTGAGGAGATAAGCAAGGCTTCAGAAGGAAATGTTCAGAGGCTCAGCAAATCTTATACAGGGCTTGAAAAGAGATGCTTCTACTGTCAGCTGTAGTTTGGGGTTTGGAAAAGTTACTTTCTGATTTCCTGAAACCAGCTCAAGTTCCTTCATATCACACACACACACACACACTTCAATTTCCAAATCCAAAGTCATCTACTAGTCTAAAGATATCAGGTGTTTTATCGCATTTTCAAGTTCTATTTCAGAAGAAACTTATTTCAAGTTTCTTCTTCGCTTCACCTATTTAAGATACTTAAAGGCAGCTAAATATGTGTTTGAAGGAATTTTCTGCAGTGCTAAAGTAATGGTTTGTAAATGCTGTGCTGGGAGGCTTACCTTTGACCAGGAAGAATAAAATGTGTGATTGTGTGTGTGAATTTTTCTTAACATCTTACACTAAACAACCCTCTCCTAACATGGCTCAAGCTAGCCTCATGCCCCAAATCAACACTTGTGAAGTACCGTTCAGGGTAAAATCGTCATTCTTTTGAACAGAGGTGGAATGAGAAGGAAAACAAGGAGAGAAAGTGCCTCAGCCAGTTAGAGAACAGAGTAGCTCACTCACAGTTCCAGCAAATTGTTAATATTAACATAATAGACATGATAATTGCTTCTGATATCCTGTAAGAGCTTTCAGACAGACACAAATTTATGTTGGCATTAGTTATTTTTTTATTTGCTGTTAATTCAAATAGTCATTTCAACTTAATATTAAATAGGTATTTTATTTTTGAAATTTCCTCTGTTGGATTCCTCCTGTTCAATATTGTTGTTGATTATGCATATGGGTTTTTTTTTTCTAAACTGTTTCTTGATGCTGAAGTGTGAATTCAGCCAAGATACCCAAGCTGGAGCATATTTAGACAACTGTTTCAAGACTTAGTTTCTATTGCAGTTATCATATTAAACAAAATCCAGATATGGTTAAGTTCAGGCCTTCTTCCAAACCCTACTAACCAGCTCCTTTGAAAATGCTTTCAACACTATGGATCTTAATGTCCATTGAGTGAACAATTGTGGGAAGAAAGGTTTGTTCTTTTAAATGTTTTCCCTTTTGTAATATCCAATGTGTATTTTTTTTATTAATATCTCCCCTCTACACTTACAGCATCATTTATTTGGTAACTTCACTGTCACTTTTCTTTTATAACATTAAAAAATATTTTCGAAAATCTGAGGTCCTGCTACCCTAACAGAACTATCGAATTTCCATTTTAGCATATTATCTCCTAGGCCTCCTCCATGTGCATACAGACCTTATATACTATAATCATGAGTTTTTCTTTAATTATTAATTATACTCTAAGTATGTTTTCATGTTTCTATTCAGTGTCCCTAATTATCATTTAACAATTGTGCAATGTGTTATTTCGCGATGTACCATAATTTGCTAAGCCATACATTATTACTAGCCAGATACCACGCTTTATGGGGTGGTTTTGTTATTACTATTTTCTGTTGTTGGTAACACAGCTACGTTATTTGCTATCTGTCCAGAGAGGTGCAGACTTACAGTTGAAAACCTGTATTTTTATAGATGATAATTGAGGTAACAGAAATGTGTAAATGGATAAAACATGCAATATTGTTGGTTTTCTCTTCACTCATGTAGATGCAAGACATAAGATAAGAAACAAAATAATGCTTCTTCAAAAAAGTCCCCCATTGGGACCAGAGTCAATATTAAGAGTAAGATGAGACATTTTCCCAGTTAAGATACCATGAGTTTGTATCTCAAAATCAGATTACATTGGTGTCAATCTTCAAGAGCATGATGCTGAACAAGCAAAATGAAAAACAGAGGTAAATTATAATGATTACTTTGTAATATTTGAAAGCAATTTTTAAAAGTATCTCACTATATATTTTCTAATATAGTTAATATATATGTATGTATATTACTACTTATTAGTGACTTACAAATGAACTACACTTTCAGGAATTCAACAGTCTCTACCCACAAGTTTTCTGTTTCAGCTTTTCACTGGAAACATTAAACTGAAGATGGAGATGTGGACCAATGCTCGGTTCAACCAAATGTCTCAATAAAGGAATGAATCCCACTCAGGCTCTTGTCCAGATAATACACAATCCTGCAAACACAGTTAAGTCAGAGATCACATCCTTGACCCATCACTGCCTGTCGCAGGGTCCTCACTCCGTGGACACCCAAAAGAAAGAAGTTTATACATGAATCTGTCCAGATACACAGATAGGTGGGCAGTGCAGTTAATCTCCACACCTTTCCAAGATATTCCTGGACCTGACCCTTGTTAGAGATTCTTTATTTTTTCCCACACTCCTCCTGACCTTATGTTAGAGCTGGTGAACTTCGTATCCTCAGTGACAACACGAGGCTTTGCATGCTTTATAAAAACATGGAGTTACAAAACAGACTGGTTACAAAATAGGATGTAAAGCTATTAAACATCTCTTATGTTATTCTTTAACAAGTCCATCCCTGAAAAGTTAAATATAACAAAATTTTTGCAATTACTCACTTTCTTATTTTTCATGGTAATGAGCTATTCTCTATGAGACAGGTAGCTGTTCAGTCTAAAGCAAGACCACTTTTGTTTAGAAGAATTAGGCTTTTGAAAACCACCTGCCTGTAATTCAACATGAAAATATGAACAATTACCTTCTGTGCAAGTGATGAGACCACCACACCTGCTCAAAAAAGCCCACCTGCCCCTACGCTCTTCCTCCCCACCTCCCGTCCTCTGCAGGAGCTTCTTGGCTATTAGTGATTGTACGCTGCATCTGACCACCCTGCACCTCACCCAACCATTTTCTCTTCCTCAGATGTGTACTGTCTTCACCCCTCTGCTGTTTAATACCCTAGCATTCTTCAAGGGGCAGCTGCCATACCTTCCACAATCTTTTAGATTTTCCCACTCAGAACTAACGTTTCTGTTGCTCGGTGATCAGACAACATCTCCACCCCTACCACTGCATGTGTTAGCTGAGAATGTATCTGTCTTTCCCACTAAAGCATGAGCTCTCTGAGGGAAGGGGCCACATTTTATTCATCATTCCACTCCACCCGCCCTTCCCCACCTGACACCCCCCCAACACACACATACACACACACACACACACACACACACACACACTCACACTCTTCCATGCTCAGTGAAACCACTAAATTGCACCATTTGGGTCATCCTCAAAGCCTACTCGCTTCCCCTTTCCAGGAGGAAAAGAAAACTCTGCCTTGTTGATGTGAATTAAACAAAATCAAATATAGTCAACAACAATGTGGCTTAAAGGAGGCTTCTGTGGTTTAGGACCCTAACTGTTATTTAGCGTATTGTTTCTCTGAGGAAACCACATCTTACATAACAAGGAGAAGAAAGAGATGATCCTTTCCGGGACATTTCCTCTTCTCTCCATGACTAACCTAACTCCATCTCCCTGCTTCCCTCTGTGAGTCAGTGGCCGTACTGCACACATGACAAGAACTGAAGGTTCTCAGAGCACAGAGCACTCGACAACTAAGCTTTTGAATTCCTGACTAAAGAAAATGCAAATCCATACATTTAGGTTAACCCTGTAAGTAGGTCAACAAAATATAATTTACCAGCTTTGACTATCGTCCCTCTATTATGCTTCCACCTGATAGTTCTTAACAGGGCTTTCAAGGCCACCTGGGTATTCTCTGGGGTCAGTTTTCAGGCGCCAAGTGGCTGACTCTTACCCCCCAACCCCCATGGAGCTCTCCTTCTCTTTAAAGACTGTGGGATGCTCAGAGACTATGATTTGTGGTTCAGAGAAGCCCCAGCTTGTCCTGGGACAAGATGATGGCATTGTTCAGCAAGTCCCTTGAGCAGTATTTGAGGCTAGTCTTAACAATTTCCAACCCATATAATTTGTCCTGTGAACTTCCCAAACTATTTGCCTGGGCAGAGGCAGAATTTAATTTGAGGCACTCTTTTTTCTTGACTATGGCAAATATCAGGTTCTCCTTTAACAAAAGCAAGAAGGACCTCCCTGGAGTGTAAGCAGGAAAGGGGGTAGCAAAAGCAGAGGATGTATGGAATTGTCAGCACAAGGAGAAGGGCCACCAACCCCTCACTAGGCCAGTCACTGCTGTGGCA